CTCGGTAGAACCACTGGTCTCAGCAGAACCACCAATGGCGTTTTGCGAAGCCTGATAAGGCCACATGAAACTGCAGCCAAACGCATTCAGTCTGAGCGCCTTGGTCAGTGCCTGCGAAGCATGCCGGGAATCCCAGCAAAGAGATTTTTGACATTGTATAGAGTATGTAGACAAGCTGGCCATTGCAGTCGTTTTGAGAAGAGGTGTCCGGTGTCCCGACAGCACCAAATTCACTTCCCTCACCGAGCCTCAAACTGTTCAGGTTGCGAATGGCAGCGTGCGTCAGGAGCTCGGTAATCTTGAGATGGAGAGCAAGCAGATGCAAGGGGATTAGATCATTCATCTGTATCTGTATATGTGATATCATGGACATGGTTGGTTAATTTGTCACTCATGACTCATGACCGACAAAGCGTTTCAGGAGCTATTGCTCTATATAGATTGCAAGATAGAATGAAATAGAAAGAGTTTGACAGAAACGTTGCCTCTCTGATGTTTTATTGAATTCGGTTCAAGGCTCGCAGTGTTCTTTGAGTACCACCATCGCGTTGGTGCAACTGTTCGATGGCTCAGTCCTGAATCTCTGTGATTCCTTCGAAGCAATGGAGTCATGCAGAACCAGCCACTGTCCTTTTACCATCTTTTACCTAATTTCCACACTTTGTGTCCTTGTTTGTCAAGTCACAGACTGAGGAGGTGTAGACAATTGCATCAATTTCACTGAAATGGTCCCAAAAAAACGAAAACAGGAATCTTGTATAATTTCTTATTTGCGTCATGTCGAGCGGGTGGAAAACTCAGGCAGTTCTTCATGGCTCGGCGATCACCGCTTGTGCGAAGGGCACTGCCTGGGTGAAGGTCTCAAGAGGACCACGGGCCATTGGAGGCACAAGTGGTGATCCTTAGGCTTAGGCTCAAAAATTAAGTGCATGCTTTTGTCTCATATCTGTAGATGGGCACCACAAGTGGAGCCAGTGCTACAATTGCATGGTAGGTGCTTGGACATGTCATGGAGGAGCAAATTCTGCTCGTCTTTCATGGTGACCAGCTTGTGTTGTCTTGAGGTGCAGGCACTTCTGCTGCTTAGATCTATGGAAGGCAGGCTACACCCCCTTCCATCAATCCCCATAAGTTATTTATTTATACAAACATCAACATCTCAAAGGCTGATCAGAGGCTTGCATAGTCACCCCGCACTTCATGACTTCATGAAGACACTTTGCGTGAAAGGATGTTTGAAGCAAGTGAAAGCACTACAGGGAACTCTTTGCGAAGGCATTGAGGATGAACATAACGACGATAACAACATGCTTCAATCTTGAAACCGATTATATTTGGTTGTGCCATCGTGCAGTCCTTGAAGCCGCAGGCTTGAGGCTTCAGAAATCAGCCGGAGGACCTGGCATTCAGTTCATGATTCATGCAGCATGCTTGACTAGGACCAGAGTACAAGCGGATCCTTACCAATTAGCACTCCAAAGCTTCTGGAATGATGCACACAGCATCACCAGGTAGTAGCATGTTGTGCAGCATATCGCTGACCCAGGGTTCACAGCAGCCAGTAGGCACCAAACACTAAACACTATGACTCTATGGCTTTGGAATTTGGATTCTCTTCGTCCCTATCTAAGTGTCACATATATAGGTGTAATATGGTGTAATGCCGGTTTCTTTGACTCTTTGACATCAGATGTTTCAGTATCACATCGCGGTCGCAGTCGAATCGAACCCGAGGCCATCGCTCACAATAGCGCTCTCACCGCTTTGGCACGGGCAAAGCAATGGCAAGCAGCGTTGGGACTAAAGGGAGTATGTGAATCATTGTGAGTCAGGAAACGAAGAAGAGGATGGTGTAGAGTGTTGACAGGCATGAGTGATGTGACTTTTTAGATGAAGACTGAAAGATGATGTGTTGGTGTGAAGTGTTAGGCGTTGAACGGCGTTGAACATTGTTCCTTGGAGCCGACTGAGGCTTGCAGAAGCTGAAAGGGAAGACCTAGACTCCATGGGAGTCGCAGAAGTCATTAGGAGGGGCAAGCATGGTTTGCGTTAAAGGATATTGGAAAGCGGACAGCCAACCACAAGAACAGCACCAGCAACAGTAACGTGTGATGCAGTAGACCCCGCTGTGAGAAGGTTTGCCAGTTAATGGTGTCCTACCCATGCAACATCACAACTCACAACAATGACAACACACTGAGGCCCTGAGGTTCTAAAGCATTACAGCCTGTAGTTCAAGATGGAAAAACACTCCCCGGCAGTCTGTCTTTCGATGTCTTGCAATACAAGGAGCTGTGCCTCAGCGCAGCAATGGTCAGAGATGCGAGGAGTTTGGCAGCTGCGGCCTCAGGACGTTTGGCTCATTGACCTATGACCCAATGGACTGCCTCCTTTGCCCTCTACTCACAATAGAGTGCAGAGTTGTGCAGTGCAGAGTAGTATTCAGAGCATGTGTATAATTGATTGTAGTTGACGGCTTTTCGTTTATATGTATTTATCGTGTCCACTGCAATCTTCTGATGAAAGGCGGTTTCGTGGTGAGCCGGGCACTTGGGAAACTAGCTGATGCTACAGGAGACAATGTATTTCATCAAATGTTGAGTGACAAGAGTTCAAACGCTATTAGGTGGGAGGCCATTGATATTAGGTTGGAGCACATCGCTATTGTGACAGAGTCTTTGTGATCTACATAGTTACAAGCAAAGAGCGACATGAGTTAGTCAAGAAGCCTATCTTTCACACTCTTTCACTTGATGTATTTTTTTTGTCGTTGCATTTGTCAAAGACCCGAAAAGAACAACGAGTTCGAGGCCTGATGCTCCGTTGCTTACACTGATGGCATACTCACTGGAATGCTCTGGTTTTTTTGGCGGGGGCCGCTCAGCAAGGGATACGAGGAGTGTCCTCCAATTCGTCGCGGACTCGTGGCAGGACACTTGATGTATTTAATGTTAAAGATTGCGCTGATTCTTTGAATGCTGCATGACTGTTTGATGCTGCGTTTTACCGCACGACATTTGACACCTTGGTGACGGTGACAAAAGTTGCGATGCCCTGACAAGGTGATCTTCCCCGCCTAGTCTCTATGGCTGAGGCGGGGATTTCATTGAACAGCTGAAAAGACAACCTTATTGAAGATTGCAGAAAAAGACTCCAACCAATCCAGATCACAACAAATCAGGACTCTTCTCCCAACACTTTGATCGACCAGATTGATCCTACCAGACCCCGTGTTTGACCGGAAACAGCGGCTGTCCTTGCTTCAGGTCGCTTTGCATTCGCTGCCCCGTCGTCGGAAGGCTGGCCGCGGACGGGCGGTGGTGGGATTGCTCGGTGAGCCCGCAAAGCATGACGCCATTTGTTGCCTGTTCCTTTGGATCCACTGATTCTGTGGAAACCTTCGAGTCGTTTGTAGAGCCATGCATTTGACACATGCGTAAGTTTGGTACAGAGCTGCAGAAACATGTTCTGTTTGTTTCTTTTTGCACAAAGCTCAGCATGTCCGCAGAGGTCCAAGCAGATCACGGCGTTATCCTTTTGGAGCTGCTGGATGAGGCTGGCATACTAAGCTGCCATACAAGGTCGAATCAGATAGATTCGTGCGTATATTTACTGCGTGTGCATGTGTCGTAAAGATCTTAGAACCCCAAGATTGTTCTGAAGTATCTTAAACAAGTCGTGTGACTTGACAGCTGGTCGGCATGGTCCTGTTGCCTGCCAGTTCGATTTGGCCACATCATACAGTGTGCAAAGCTCCCTCCGAACTCGTTACGCCAGGGCCTCATCTCCCTGAGCTAACAGTGTCAGCTAGTTGCAACAAGCGAGCCCTTTGCTTGTTGGTGGCTTCTACTGCTGGCAACAAATTATGGAAAACGAGTGGTGTGCCACTGTGCTCATGAAGAGGTACACTAGCAGTACGTCTGGACAGGGGAGGTTGAAAGATTTGAGAAGTGCTGATTCTTTGCATTTATGTCTAGTGATTGTCAAGCAATCATCTTTCAAGATCCTTGCATCGTTTGAGGCGACAACTCAACATGCATTGGCAAAACTTCAGGCCACCAAACCGGATTTCATGACTCGATGACTTGTGATGTGTTGTGCAGGGGGGTACGATGTCAGGTAGGTTGAATGAAGACGTATTTATAATAATCGTATTTACTTAAATTTATGCTTGGAAAAGACAAGAGAATGGAGAGTGCAACAGCTTCGAATTGACTACTACAAGGCTCGAAGGCCATCTAAGTGACACTCCAACAGCGACTGGTTTGTTGAAGGACAGTCGGCTGCCCCCATCATTCCCAAGGGCAATTTTGGAGGAGTCCTTCAGCATTGGACCTAGTTGAGTTGATTCAACAAGCCACGCTTTTGCATGGACATCAGAAGAAGATTCCGCCAAATGACAATGGTGCGTGAAGAGGGCGTTCTATGAGGGACTCACAAATCCATTGGATACAGTTCACAAAGCTTCAATCATCTACGATTTTGTTTGATGTAGAATCTAGTAGACCTTGAGGTTTGGGCGCCATCTTTACTTCTCTGCAGCTGGGGAATCATGAGCTTCCGTGGATCCAGATGGCACGTGGGAAGCCAAGTCCCAAGCTCCTAAGTTGTCTCCTGCATACCACCAAGCGCACTGGAGGGTGTGCCTGGCCAAAGCAGAAAACATGCGCATAAACAGTCGAGTCATATTGCAGCAGATTAGTTCAGCAATTTCAGATCTGTACAATACAGTACAAAAAAGCACTTGAACGTAGCCTGATTTGCTTGAGCCCCGTGAGCATGTGCCGAGGACGCGCCTGCAGAAATATCACGTGGACAGGTGCCGTGACATTGCTCCCGGATCCTCCCTGCTGTTTTGGTTGAAGATGGAAAGCACATCCTGAGAGGGGTACAGGTACAGGGTGTCAAGCCAAGACCATGCTTGATAGTCACCTGTGCCATTAATTAGAGGTTTTCAGGTGCTGAAAGCAAGACTTTTTTGAACAGTGTGCATGTTTTGCAGCAGCGCTGGCTCAGAACGGTAGGCACCTGTACTGTTTCAGGACATTTGCGCATCCCATGATGAACCCTTCTGACTTAGAGGAGCTTCTTGAGGAGAGAGAAGCTTCGAGGAAATGGAGTTTCCCCGCTCGTGTCTTTGTGATTCTGGGAGTTGTTGCTCTTGCTGCCTTATTTGTCCTCGGAGTCTCCTTCCGTGGCCGCGGCCTATCTGTTGAGACGGAGTCTGACGCATTCGTGAGCTTGAGGAAGAAGCATCACAATCACGAAACATGCTGGGAAAAGGGCATGTACTATGGACACCCTCACAAGCTCCCTGGCACTGAGAGGACTGTGGAATGGAATGCTTTTCAGTGCCAGCAACGGTGCCAAGTGGTGGATGGCTGTGCACACTTCTCCTTTTGGCCCCATGATGGTGGATGTCTTTTGACTGGTGAGGAGTCCACTCTCAAAGCCGCTCCCGACGGAAAGCCCCCCAAGACCGGGCCCAAGTTCTGCCCCTCGGCCGTGGACGCTGCCCAGGAGGCCATTGCCCAGGTGCCTGACAATGACCCGAGCACTGGGCTTCCGGCGACGGATGTGGTCAGCTCTGGAATTCCACAAGCCGAGAGCGCTTGGGCATCCAGCGACTCCAAAGACACCAGCGACGTGACGGCCGTGGTTCCTCCCGCTGGGGTGAATGGCACTTCTTGCAGCAAGTACCCGGCGTGCGTCGACGTGGGCATCACTGAGGGCGACTGCTGCCCCAATGCTGCTGCAGTGACGTTGGGCTGCTGCAATGGCTTCCCCAAAGCAGTGGAAGAAGTGAAGATCGCGAAGGGCTCTGAATGCTCCAAGCTTCTTGGAGTATGACTTCCCCGTGAGTTTCCGCTGCAAGTCCATTTTTGTACAATATTTCTCCCCGCCTGTCAGGTGAGGGTCTCGTAGCATCTCTGAATAGACTTTATGTCAGCTCTTTGTCCTTCCCTTTCTTCCTCCTTGTCCTCCTTCTCCTCGCTGCCTGCTCGCCTCAGCTCTGCCTGGTGTTTGCCTCGTCTTTGGGTATGGGGCATATCCTGCACGCAGGACGTCGACCCTATACTCTATACCTATACTGAAGTGTCAGCACTGGACCCGATCCGGATTGTCAGAACATGATGCCAGAACAAACGTCAGTACACAAGCCAGAACATATGCCAGAACACAATGTCAGAGCATGTGCCAGATTTGATTCGACCCTAGAATAAATCCAGAATAGACAAAATAGATTTCAGAGCTTTTGAGAGGCTTTGATTCCAGAACGCAGATGTATGATGTAAGAATACGTGTCAGGCTTAGGCATCAAAACTTATGTCAGAAGAACCTATGCCTTATGCCGGCGCATATGTCAGGCAGAAGTCAGGTCGTTTGCCAGGATAATTTGTGAATGTGAATGCAGATGTGTTTCAATTCAATTCTGACGGTGGGGATCACTCGAAGTAAAGCACACAAATGGTACACGCATTTGCCTTGTAGAGGAGCAGAAACCGGATACAACAAAACATGTTACTGTAATGATGAGGATGTCATTTAGTAGGGAACATGTGGGAAGATCTCTTGGGTTTTTTTTGGGGTGCAATAAGGTCCCCACATTTTTTTGTAGAAAACATGTTCTTTTGCAGATAAGAAAATTGTATCGAAACGATGTTGCATGAAAAAAACAAAACGTGTGTAGTCCAAGTGCGGCGTGATGTTGGGGCGTGTCATTGCTTGAAACAAGAGTATTTGCGGAATGGGTGTTTGTGTCTTTGTAGGCGCTCTTTTATTCAGAGTCATGCTAGATCCTTGGGTTCATGGAAGGCACTATGAGTAGTTGCATACTATTTTGTATATAGTGGAAACAACACTGTTGTTGGGTTGGACAAAGAACATTGTGTAGAAATTGATTTCTTCTAAGACTTTCAGTGTCGGTGGTAATCAAGTTATCTATGTATTATATAAGTGGTTTGCATGAGCACAGCACCTTTACTCACACGTGGATTAATTAATTTACACGTGTCTTGAATATTCCCTGGCAGTTTTGTGATGTTTTAACCCTAAATGCATTCAGTTCAGGGGTTCCTAGCATCATCAAAGGGATGAAGGTTGCACACCAAACATCGAATGTCTTCAATTTTGACACATGGATGAAACGGGAAGCTTGTGTGTCAGATGAGATCATTGTCGATTTCTGGTCAATGGGTGACCTTCGGGCCCCAGGTTTCCAGCCTGTGTCGCCCTGAACATCTCCGGTGGCTGCTGCCCAACAAGCACTGGCCTCATGCTGGGTTGCTGTGCGCAAATCTGAGCAACTCGCTGAACATGGACAACTGGGCCCGGCTCAAAAAACGCAACTTTGAAGAACCAGGAAAACATCATCAAACACGTGCAGCTCACCTGATCTACTTTGCGTTTATTGCATTACTTGTTCATGTTGCTGGGTTTGATGTGTTTACTCTATTTTTTGAGCCACGGCCAACTGCGCAGAGGATGTGCTTGGCAATTGATGACATGTGGCACAGGGTACACCGAGTTGCCTAGCCTTGGTTAAAGCTCCACCACAAGTATGCACTACATAATTGTAGTACGTAGCTTTTGAGATAACTACAGTAAAGTGTAAAGTCTAAAAGTTTGGCCGGACAGCTGGGGCAAGCACTGCTGAAACATGTGTGGGCGAACTGCAAAGTCAGAACCGCACTGCAAAGTCACTTTGCTAGCCCTTCTCACTCCAATGGTCAAGAGGAGCTTGAAGGGATTGAAGGCAAGAGTGGAGAAGCAAGGTTGAACAGGAATTTCAATGAAAAGCTGTTTGGAAAGAAGTGACACGAGTCTTTTGCCACGATGGACGATTGAACCGGCTTCAGAAAGTTCAACTTCGTCAGAGTCATGTTCGGATTTCTGTGCTTGATGCTGTATGTCGAGCGATATTCATGATGCCTGGAACGAAAGCACACCGAAACACATTCCGGTCCGTGGGAGATTCCCCCACGCAGGTGACGAGGATCTCACGGCCGGGATGATTTCAGCTTGGCATAGCAAGGTGTGATGGGGACAGAAGACAAGATGAATGAGTTCAGCCGGGAGAGTAGATGATTCACATTGATTCACGATTCTAAAGCAGACGAATAACTCTCAGGATCTTTCAAGGCTTCCGCCATGCTAAGAAACCTGCTTTACACTGGATGTTTTTGTTTGCTCCTTTCTGACTGCCAAACTGTTTAGGATCACAGCTGTGTATTGCGTGAGATTGTGTGAGTTTGGGTTGTTTGAGTCCATGCCCGCAGGCCCTCGGTGTGCCAACAGTGCAGCAAGAGCACAGCGGAAGTGTCGCTGGGGCACGCAGCGGTTTTGATTGGCTTTTGCATGCTTTTGCTGAATCTACCCCCTTCGTCCATTTTTAATGCCACGTTGCTACTTCTGTGGACAGACCTCGCTCTGAGGGTACTGAACATGTGTGGTCATTCCAACTATGCGATGCCTTGGCTGCATGTATTCTCTCAAGCTTGAGCCCAGGTGGGGCAGGCAGAGGAGGGTGCAAGCCCGGATGACAGGCACGTGAACCGACAGCTCACAGCCACGGCGTTGTTGGATTGCATATGTTGAAAGTAGAAAGTGTACGAAATCAATAGTTGAAGCATGCCGAAGTCACTCGCTGCTTTCACTACGACAAGGTACCTTGTCCTGATTACGCACTCTGGGGATTTGAAGCAAGCTCAGTTGTGACATGTTCAAAGGCCGAGTCAAAGTCCTTGGCAGTAGTGCCGAGCAAGATAATTTGCAAGAGCAAGCTTTTGTTAAGCAAGAAAATACCTAAAGGAGCTATGTGTTTGAGCCCATACCAATTCGCGCACCCAAACCTTGGTATTGATTCACCGGGCGAATGCGGTGTGCAGGTTGCTGCCCATCTTCGCAGGTCACGATCGTTCCTCACACGTGCTGAAGCTCAGAAAGGACAAAAGCCAGCGCCTGTTAGAGGTTTTGTATCATTAAACTTACTAGTAGTAACAAGTGCATCGCTAGTAGAAACAAGTGCCTCGCTAGTAGTAACAAGAAGCTATTAGAATTAAAATTAGTAGTTTCTTGATTCAATTCTAATTAAACTAGTAGTAACAAGTGCCTCGCTAGTAGTAACAAGTGCCTTACTACTAGTAACAAGAAGCTATTAGAATTAAGTTAAATTAAACTTATTAATTAAAATAGATTCAATTCTAATAGACTATTGTTCCTAGTAGTAACAAGTGCCTCGCTAGTAGCAACAAGTGCCTTACTACTAGTAACAACAAGCTATTGGAATTAAAATTAGTAGCTTCTTGTTACTACTAGTAAGGCACTTGTTACTAGAAGCGATGCACGTGTTAACTATTAAATAAACTTATTAAACTGAGTTCTACCAGCTTCTTGGTACTACTAGTAAGGCACTTGTTACTAGTAGTAAGGCACTTGTTCCTAGTAGCTTCTTGTTACTACTAGTAAGGCACTTGTTAGCGATGCACTTGTTTCTAATAGCTTCTTGTTACTACTAGTAAGGCACTTGTTACTAGAAGCGATGCACTTGTTACTAATAGTTTATTGTTTCTAATAGCTTCTTGTTACTACTAGTAAGACACTTGTTACTACTAGCGAGGTACTTGTTTCCAATAATAATAGCTTCTTGTTACTACTAGTAAGGCACTTGTTACTACTAGCGAGGCACTTGTTTCTAGTAGCTTCTTAGTTCTAATAGCTTCTTGTTACTACTAGTAAGGCACTTGTTACTACTAGCGAGGCACTTGTTTCTAATAGCTTCTTAGTTCTAACAGCTTCTTGTTACTACTACTAAGGCACTTGTTACTACTAGCGAGGCACTTGTTTCTAAAAGCTTCTTAGTTCTAATAGCTTCTTGTTACTACTAGTAAGGCACTTGTTACTACTAGCGAGGCACTTGTTTCTAATAGCTTCTTAGTTCTAATAGCTTCTTGTTACTACTAGTAAGGCACTTGTTTCTAATAGCTTCTTAGTTCTAATAGCTTCTTGTTACTACTAGTAAGGCACTTGTTACTACTAGCGAGGCACTTGTTTCTAATAGCTTCTTAGTTCTAATAGCTTCTTGTTACTACTAGGAAGGCACTTGTTACTACTAGCGAGGCACTTGTTTCTAATAGCTTCTTAGTTCTAATCGCTTCTTGTTACTACTAGTAAGGCACTTGTTACTACTAGCGAGGCACTTGTTTCTAATAGCTTCTTGTTACTACTAGTAAGGCACTTGTTGCTACTAGCGAGGCACTTGTTTCTAATAGCTTCTTGTTACTACTAGTAAGGCACTTGTTACTACTAGCGAGGCACTTGTTTCTAATAGCTTCTTAGTTCTAATAGCTTGTTGTTACTACTAGTAAGGCACTTGTTACTACTAGCGAGGCACTTGTTACTACTAGCTTCTTGTTACTACTAGTAAGGCACTTGTTACTAGAAGCGATGCACTTGTTACTACACGACGATGGTGTGGTAGGAAGATGGAATGGGGGAGACGAACACAGATGTGTATATATACCCAGAACTTCCAACGTCGAAGTTTAACTTAGCCAATGAGAAACGTCGAAGTTAAACTTGTACACCTCAGTGCGTCTAAGTTTTACTCATGTTAGTTGTCTTAGACAGAACAGACTCCGCAGAACAACGAAGTTTAACCTGGTTAAACAAACGTCGAAGTTAAACTTGGCCTTTGAAGATTAGGGTATATATATATTGCATTTTCTTTGACTAGTTTGTTTAAGCTTCTTTCGTTCCTCTCTTGTTTGACACGCGCAAGAATCTTCGACAGAGAAACAATGAGAAACATGCTGAGGCTGAACGTCAAGCCTTGCTCAGTGTTCTGCGAGGATGCTGCCGCTACTCTCACCACATCAAATGTGTTGTGCAAGCCTCGATCCATTGCATGTCAAATCATTGATTTGGATATTTCTAGAAATTTGAACAGTTGATATACAGCTTCTATTTTCAGTCCACTGTCCACTGCTTTCTTTTCGGTTTTGGCAGGACTTGCCCAATGCCGCCTCACCGACCACATGAGTGTCTTCCCCCAGCGGCACATGTGCTGGGAGTTTTGGAACGGCACAACAAAATTGCAGAAATGCTTTGCATGCACAAAGCCAGATGCCTGTGTGCTGTGCGCTGATTCAATTTCATTCTAAGCGCTTCCTAACATTAGGGATATTTCCCCACCTGCCAGGTGAGGGTTGTTAGATTTTATCACAGTTGTTCTTCCTTCCTCCCTCCCTCCCTCCCTCCCTCCCTCCCTCCCTCCTTCCTTCCTTCCTTCCTTCCTTCCTTCCTTCCTCCTTGCTTCCTTCCTCGCCAATCTTCATCGCCAATCTTCTTCGCCAATCTGCTTCGCCAATCTGCATCTTGTCTGGCAAGCTCCGGATCGCAATGTGCACCCCTGGACCTCAACCGCAAGGATCCGATCGCAGTGTGCAC